ATTGTTTTCAATTTTTTAAATATTTTGTTGAACTCGAAAGTAGCTAACTAATATTTGCATAATTATATATTTCAAAGAAATATTCGCAAATACAATTTACTACAAGAAATATTATTATAAATGTAAATTACAAAGCAGATCGCAATCTCTTAGCAAACGAAATATTAACAGCAGTTGTGAGTGGTGGTAGGTAATTTGATTTTATTTCAGACATTCAAGGCAAAGTAGTGCACTTTCATGAAATGCAACCTTCACTCCATCAAACCTATTATTTGAAGTATAAAACGCGATTTTAACGAATTAATTCACAATTACGAGTCATATATTTTTTCATTTACTCGTGTAAAGTTTGAAATTATAACTATTAAAATAGTTTCAGTTTGAACAGAAACAAACATTATAGAAGCAAAACTTATCTCGTTGGAAAAGATCAAACATTTTCTCGTTTTAAGTCCCCGAGGAAGTGAAAAACAACGAGGCCGCCATCAGAATCCAATTCCTTCGCACAGTAAGTAGTTATGATTCTATCTGCGACTCTGCGACGATGTCTCTGAGATGGAATAAACTTGGACAATTCGCACGCGTCTGCTAAGGCCGCGTTCAAATCTAAATAGTTTTTTTTTAGCCGCCGACTTTTAGGGAACATAAGAAAATTTACGTTTTTTTTCACAACTGACATTTAATTTCGCGTTGCCTCTATTATTACATTATATAATATAAACATCCAACAAAAACTGACAAATTCAAGAATTACCTCTTGACCGTCTTAAAAAGGGCGTTCGTTCGAGTACCTAATCTTATGTTTAAAGTTGGAGGGCCACTCAACCGTGAGCCATTGTATTGGCGTGGGTACCTCTTTACTTGGAGAACTTCTTCTGTAGCAAAAACGGCTTAACTGGTTTTATTATTTCAATCGTATTCTTCCCAAGACTGTTTAAAGGATATATATAATCTACGTCATTATTTTTAAATTATAACATCAATTTATATGGAATGTGTTTACATCTCGACTTTACACTTTTACACAAGACGTATAATTGCTAACAAATGTATTTTGATTTTCATTATTGTGATACTGAAAGTGACAGTTTGGTGTTTGGTGTGTACACAGCCTTACACTAATAGGCTTATAGAAGAGTTAGTAAGGATTCGGCTCAGTAGCGATTGAAGTAGGCGAAGGCAGTTAAATCTATTTTATTACTTTCAATATGGCTGCCATCCGCGAACAGATTTACTGACAATATACATACTTAGCTCTTATATACAGATTATTTAAGCAATAATAGAAACTCTGTATGTACTAACATATGCCTCTATGAGAATTTACATTGATCTTGGAAATGTAAAATGAGTCATTTCATCTAAAATTAAGTACAAAAATGTCTTTAAAAATATCGATAAAAATGTATAATGATTAAATGGATTTAATATGGGTAGAAATATAATTTTAGAAAATGCCCTCACATATTTCTAACATTGGTTAAGCGCTTTAATTTATATCCCGTAGTGGGGTGAGATTGGGGGCGGCGCGGGGCGGGGCGGATGTGGGGTTCATGAGTACGCACTAACTCAGTTGTAATTAACTGACGACATTCCTTTAATGTATTTTATATGTATTTTATATGTATGTATGTATGTATGGACTACTCCACTCATTAGCTCTCATTAATTACATTGCAAACTAAGCGTCGGAATAAGTGTAGTAATGTTTAACTGTTGTTGTACTGTTTGTTTACTGTATACATACTCGTTATTGAAATCAAGTTATAGGAAACCTTGTAAAAAATATCGATATGAAAATAATATTTTGGAACGCCATAATATCCATCAAGGTAATATTGTAGGCGGTGTAAATATTATATGTGTTGACACCCTGCCGTCCTTTGACATCAATACGAGGAAATAGTCACAATAACACGAAAACGGAAATTCCAAGAGAGGTGTTAACCTTTATGTATCAAAAAAACACTATTTATAACCTATTCTGTAGAATAGTATTATATAAATTATTTATATTCGAATAGTACCAATATGATACCGCTATCGAACGCGAATTCCTACGTGCGGAACTAAAAAAAATTGGCCTACGTTTGAGTTGACTATTATTCTTCCAGACTGTGTTCTACGTCTATGCTAAATTTCAGCGAGCAACTGTTCTGAAGATACGTTCTAACAAACATCCATGTAAATATTCGCATTTATAATGTTAGTAAAGAAGACTAGTAAAATTACATGACCTTACTAAAGTTACTATAAAATAATTTTCGTAAGCAATTTTAAATCCTTTAAAAACCAGTTATATATACATAATGTACACTTTATAATATAGATCACATATTGAAATTATATTCAGAAAAATTGATTTACTAAATTTACGATGCAATAGTTTATGATTTGAAGACATGGTTCTAAGAAAGTCTGATTCCAAAGTGAATAAAAGAGCAAGATATAAATTTATTTGTAGAAATATACGATTGTTGGATTTAACAATTCTCTTTACATTACTTCAACAAGCAACATTCAAGTACTATCTTTATTAGGCTATAATTTCGACGAATACATAAATTTAAATTTTAAATACATATACCTAAGTACTATATAAGTTGGTACAAGGTCGTACTGAGTACTGCTGACTTATGAAATATGACACTAAATACAGCTGTGGCTATTGATTTAAGCTCTACAAAGGCAATAAATGTAAAAAGCTGTGAAAGCTCGTCTCCCCAAGAGAGCTTACTTAATGAATTGTAAACATAAAAGTCAAAGTATAACACAACTACACCAGTATGAATTTCGAATTGAAAATATGTAAAATAGACATGAAATCGTGCGGGTTATTTTATACCATAGACGCCCACGCTAGGCTACAAGAAGCTTCTAATATAAGATACATTCAAATCTGAGACAAAAAAAATATATAGGAAAATATAAATTAAATTACTTCTACAACCTCTAAAAGTGCTTCAATATAGAAAATAATAATATTCTGGAAAAAATTAACAGAGATTATTTATTTCTATATAGAAGCTTCTAGAGATTGCCGGCAGCATTAAGTGAGCCAGATAAAAGTAGAAAATATGTTTGTAAGAAATGTGAAAGCAATGCCGTCTGGTTGAATATCGGCTTAGCATTTCTAGTGTCGATTTTGGAGCTAAACGAGGCGTCATAACGCCAGATACGGCTTAGCGTACGCGCCATTCGCCAAACTCACATTACAAATACATTTAGCCGTTTGATTTATCACCAGCAGGCGATAAACAAACTCTTATATACCTTTACATACGTACGTTATGTGTATTTAACTGTTCTTATTGCATTTTAATATGTTTTCTGATGAATTTGTACTAAAACAAAAAAAAATCTTTTCTATTTGTCTTTTGAGTGATTTTATTTACTGAAATTTTCGTACTAATTACAATGAGTCAAAACAAACTACGAGAAAAAGCGGTCTATACGGATAAATTTATAGCTTATATTTTCTAAGAATGTAACATACACATCATATAGTTTCATGATATATAAATATTATCGTTGTGTAGATAACAGAAGTCCGGTACAGATTGTCGGCTCATGTCGCCGGCAAAGGAAAATTCCTACAATAATAAATTGAAAACGTCAGAATCGATACGTCAGCGTGTGCCGGAAGTGACCGTCGCGCCCACCCACAAACTTTATACATAGAGCTTTTACGGTTACCATCTATCATAGTATGAAAAGATGCCTTCACGCAATCAACTTATGAAAGCAACTTTACATAATCTTTTTAAGGCTGTATATTTACATTTATGTAAGATATAAGTGGCTTATATTAACAATTTTACACTAAAAATAAATCTAGTCTTCTGCTTCTTACAATAATTGTGAAAATGAAGATATTTCCCTCTATCTTACCGTAAATATATAAAAAGGCGTGATTACCTTACGATTAGCAACAGTAACGTTTGGCCGCTATTCGTGTTCATTTGCCTATTAACGGAACAATCGAATTCGTCAGACGCTATAAAATATCTTCTCTGATCGTAAAACTATTTTATCGCTCAGTCTTTTAGCAATTGGGATATTTATGTGTTTAGTTATGGCCACTAAAATGTCACAAAAACATTGCTCGCTTAACCTTTGACCTGGAAAGAAAAAATCGATGTCCAACATCTTCATATTCATCAATATTAAAATAGTACTTGTTTTGTATCAACTTAAAAACGATAGAATAACATTGTCTATATGTTTTATATCTCTGTCTATCACATATTATATGATCATCATCATTATCAGCTCACTTTACGTCCCCACCGAGGGGCTCGGAGCCTACCCTAAGTTCAGGGTGATATACATAATATATACTTCACTGAATTTCAAACTTAAAACAGTAAAATACTTAACAGCTAGATTACTTCGTATAACGTTTAAATTCGCGCCTCAGGTCCGCACGAGAAGGAAAATCGACATAAACGCAATCTGCGCTAAATATTCTCCGGACAAATATTCATATCGTGTAATTAAGAGACCGATTTAGGGACAGCTATTAAAATTGGCTTCTTTAGCGAGCGTCGCAAATTCTACTTAATTTTGCTTACGCGTTCCTTTTAATTAAAAGGGAAGTTATTCTCGCGAGCGGCGAGCGGCTTCCATCACATTAAACTTTGAACTTGTTCATTTCAAACAAATGTCTTTTCGCAATTATTACCTAAATAGAAATTAACGATCTCGTAGCATTGCCGAGAGGCTTTACTTGTTTAATGATTCTATTCTTGGACATTGAAACATATTTAACAAACGAACAACTTCTTTACTTCAGTTTTAAAGACATTGTCTCTGAAAGAGCGTGTTAGTAATATCTTTTGAGTTAACAACTATGTATACAATCTCGTCGGTAGACAAGGAGTTTTCGTTCTGCCAAAGAGGTGGCATACTGGCCACCAAGACCTTTGCCTTTTTAGTAAAAGAAAAATATAGATGTGAAACAGTAGAGAATCGCGCGGGAATAACGAAATGTAGTCGCGAATAGTTATTATGAGAATTATTATTGTAAATAATGTATATAGTTTATTATAAGTGATGTTAACAAGGAAATAAACGCATTTTGACTGCCGTGCTGCTGCTGCTGCTGTCATTTTATACAAGTACTATTGTATTACCTATGTCAATACAAAGTACGTGTACATTGCGGTTTGTCAAAGTTAAAAGTTTGTGATACTTTTTTAATTTCTGTCTCATTATACTAGTTAAAGCGGAAAATACTTTTGTACATAATAGTGGGTTTTCATCTATCGTCAGCGCTATGACGCTGATCACGGACCGCAGGTTGCAATCGCTAGAAAATGTCCGGGTTTGTCTTGAGCACGCAAATAAAAATATATTGTATTTACATATTTCATACAATTCGTACATATTCAAGTAGCACAAATTGTAGTCTATGATACTAAATATTGCTCAAATATATTGAGACCACCACTTATATACACATTATATTTTATTTTTCAAATAAAAATCTACTGAGGTTCAAGGATTTCGTTTAAAGTTTTAGAAGTAGTTAGCTATTTTTACATTATTATACTTTGAAGACAGTTTCCATTTTGTTAATGTAGCTTATTATACAATCTAAATTAATTTCCCGCTATAACGGACAAGGTCTATGTTAAGTGAGTCAAGTACATCGTCTATTTAGTGAGTGAAGCAACATTTAGTTATTGGCACCTATCCAAGCCAAGCGAAGTCAAGTTCGGGCAAGCCGCTGCAAGTCACGCAGCTATTCAACGTAGATTTACTATGAAGCAACTTTTAATGAGCCTCTTGTTTATTTCCACTGAAAGACAGGTGAAGCACGTCTACAGTATAATGTCGTGATAATTTAAAAACTTTAACATTAAAAATAACTTGAATTCATGCTAATTAAGTATTTTACTTAGTTTTTTCACTTATTTTCTATGGTACAAAATAATATTTTACGAATAGAATTTATAAACTCGAGTATTTATTCAGTATTGCGATATTCCATGAATTCTATTTTCCTTTTGCCAGTGTCGAGATGTAGCCTAATTGGATCGGAATGAGATTCAGATATCCATCTCTGTCGTGATCAGAATCAACTATTGTAAGAGTCAGTTAAGTGCTTGCTCTCATTTTGTCTCGCTCTGTGTCACCTACATATAAGATAAAACTATCTTCATTCAAACTTTCAATTTAACTTTTAATTCACATTTTATTATAAACTAGAATATTTCATTAACAATGTTTTAAAATGATCAAACTATTTTGGGGATTGAAAACTTTTTTATTGTTTTGGTCGAGTCCATGATTGTTAATTTTATATGTTCCTCACAATTATTTCGTCTGACAAATACAACGTATAAATAAAAGGAATTATTTTTATTTCAGTACAATAATCAACTCCTTTAAATTCTCTTGAAGCGTGAAACTAATATCCATAAAGTATTGTTCTGCAAACATTTGAACTGTAGGTATATTATATGGTGAACGTAATGGATTATATTAGTTTTTTTTCTTTTGCAGTTTCAACGATGCCTCGTCCTTTGTCATCATGGCATCATTCGGTGAGGATGGTATGAGAAAGCGTGGGGTACGATGCTTGCCGGACGGTGGTGGGTGGCGACCGTGACCCTGCTGCTGGCAGTGCGCCGCACGCAGATGAGGGCCTCCGCCACAGACCGCCTGGACCTCCACCTGGACCCTGGCAGGCACCACCACAGGCACAGACACAAGCAGACAGACGCACCAGTCACTCAGCATTACAACGATAATTCATACAATTTCCTTCCTCACTACGATCCTTTTACCTTCAACGAATTTTTACATAGAGAAATTTTAAATTTCGATTCTTACGTCAACGATAAAAAGAATGACTGGAATCAAATGTCCGGTGATATTGGAGAGTTGAAGGACAAGAAACACCAGCACTGGCCGATCAAGCGCGAAGCTGTGATAGAGGGGGACCTGGTGCTGGGCGGGCTGATGATGGTGCACGAGAGATCTGATAACCTGACGTGCGGGCCGGTTATGCCGCAGGGGGGCGTGCAGGCGCTGGAGACGATGCTGTACACGCTTGACATTGTGAACAACAAGCTGAAGCTCATCCCGGGCGTCACACTCGGCGCGCATGTACTGGACGACTGTGACAGGGATACTTACGGACTGGAAATGGCTGTTGATTTTATTAAGGGTATGTTTTTAATACCTAATATTGTGGATTTATTGATATAACTGTGTTCGTTTCCATTTCTATATATTTACATCAGATATCATTATATTCGAATATGATTTTGAATACAAATTTGCGTAGTGTTACTGTAGCAAGCTTATTTGTATAATAATTTCTCGCTTTACTGATTTTGACAGAACACCTAAAATTTGAGTGAGGGCATGGCTCAATAGAGTTTACAGTAGACCAAAACTAATAACAGTTTACAGTTATTACTCCCACAAGGCTACTTCATTTTCGCACAACGTTTAGCCACATCAACAGCTTTAGTGTTATAATGTTACAATTCTCTAAACTTCATAACAAACATTTAATAATAAACTAATTTCCATGTTCTCTCGTACTTTTTAATTATTTCCCATTGGCTACTTTCTGTGAAAGAATGTTACAAATCACTATAAAATCGATTATTTTCTGCAGATGTATTATAATTTATAACGATATAGTTGAACATAAGTAAACATACCACCGAAAACAGTTACCTAAAAACTGGCTACTTATTATTACTTATAAAGATAACTATTTGTGAAAACTAAGTTTTATAAGTATAACTAAGGAGACATAAGTCGAACGTTGTTGTCAGGATCAATCAGCAACATAGACGACGCGGAGTACGCATGCAACGCAACAGCGGTAAGGAAAGTCATTTCCGGCGTGGTGGGAGCCGCCTCCAGCGTCACCTCCGTGCAAGTCGCAAATCTGTTGCGCCTCTTCAAGATACCACAGGTATTATGCTATATTTGGTGACATGTTGTCAAGACGCAGTATTAAGTTTTTTTATTTATTAATACTACGGTAAACTTTTTTTAAATTAAATTTCTATCAATAGGTGTCATTCTTCTCGACGTCCCCGGAGCTGTCAAACAAGGCGCGATTCGAGTACTTCACACGCACCATCCCCAGCGACCTGCATCAGGTCAAGGCGATGGTAGAGATCGTTAAGCGGCTCGGCTGGAGCTACGTCTCCATCATCTACGAGGAGTCCAGCTACGGCATCAAGGTCACCATCATATTTCATTGTTTTGTCACTATGTGTATTATAATAAATGTCTCCGTGCCAAATATGTCTTTACTTACAAATGAAAAATGAATTAAGTTTATGAAATTAACAAAGAGGTCTTAAGCAGTTTTGAGGTAGAATAGTTTGCAACTTAGCGAATCAAATCGCATACACTTGTTATGCACAAAGTCGTCGTGTGGAATTTCATGTTTTGTCTGCAGTCACACTGGCACGACACGACAATGCACCGCATGTCATGTTTGTTTGTTGAACAAGTTTAATTAGAGGAGCAGTCAGCTGCAGGCGCTCCGCTGCTCCGCTTCGACACCCAACGTCGTTTGACATTTCTCACAATTTATCGACATAATAACTAATCTCATATAGCACCGCTAATGCACCGCATGTAGTAGCTTGGATTCGTAAAGATGTAAAGATCGTGCTTGAGGTTTTATTACATTTTTTGACACTTCCTGAAATTTACATTATTGGAATATATCGAACTCAGAATCGTTATTACTTTGGATATAACTTTTCAACAATAAATCCAGTTTCATCAGGAGTCTAACCTTGACATCCTCATCAGGCGTTCGAGGAGCTCGAAGCGCTGCTGGCGAGGAATGGCATCTGCATAGCAGTGAAGGAGAAGCTGGCGAAGGATTCGGGCGTCGCCACAGAGACCGCTTACGACAACATTGTCCAAAAACTGCTCACCAAGCCCAGAGCTAGAGGTCAGTGAACTGGCTGAGATAGAATACTTTTAGTGAAAATGTTAAGTTTGTGCAAGTGCTTGAGTGCAATCTCTTAGTTCTATCAATGGAGGGGTCGACAAAAATGCACAATGTATTACTCTACTCTACACCTCATACATATCCCTGGACTTGACATTATAAATTTCATCCAAAAAATATGAGCCAGTTTAACATTATTTGAAAAATTACAATCTATATCTAGAGTTAATTAGTGAGCATCAAAGTCTAGTCATTGGAGACTGCAATTAAATAGAGACCATTAACTATAGAGGTGTCACCTTTGTTTAGTGAAGAATTTGATTAGATACATCAATAAGGTCATAAAGGAGTTTTACTTACACGGCCGCCGCTTCAGAGAATAAACAAATAAAAACTCATTTACCTTCAAATAAAAAGGCAAGACCCGAGCTACTCTCCCAAATTAAATTACATTCCGCTTTTGACTGGGTAATTCTGTTCTAATAAGGGAAAATCTAAAAGAAATTGCCTCTAAACAAATTCAATTTTCCACAGAAAAATTATTGTGTTATACGTTGTTTAATATATGTCAAACTAAAATAATTAAATACACAACAATGGCGGAGCCAGACGCAACTTTACGCTTACGTTGCTTACACTAAGTGTGGTTTGTTGTGTAAGGTCCACATTATTCCATTGCCTTCTGTTCTTTTTCTTATAGCCCATATTTATTTATGAAACAGGCATCATGATTGTTGTTATACTCTATAAATATCAGAAATATTTTATGGAAACATAAGTACACAAATCATCAGTATATTTACAAAATGGTGGTGCTGATATCAGTGTTGAGTGGAACGGTTCGCTTGTTGGAGCGATCTGACACAAATAATTCATCTAAATGTGTTCAGCGCTGTGTCGCTAAATGGCAATCATTGGTTATAGACGAGGCGGAGGATTCAATTTGAGCGGGCACTTTAGCGAGAAATTGTTTCTTGTGACACATCTGCTGCGCCACGCCGCGCCACGCAACTGGGGGCCCTGATAAGACCCGAGGCCCACGCAATATTGAAAATAATCAAACTGACCTTTTATCCATCAATTACACATCGTAATACTGAAAGTGAACTCCGCTGAACGTGAATAGTTCATCGTTCGTTTATTACATTTTTGTTCCATTAATTATTTTTACTAGATTGTGTTATAATTGCAGTTTAATTAATGAAAATCCTACAAAATTAAGGACCAACAAAGCAAAATTGTAGGTCTAAGTATGCTTGTCCATGTGGCGACGCAGTTACGAATGAAGAACTATTATTTGTAACCAGGAGCGATAATCTTCGGGTCTGACCAAGAAGTGGCGGGCGTGATGCGCGCGGTGGAGCGCGTCAACGCGACCGCCGCCTTCAGCTGGATAGGCTCGGACGGGTGGAGCGCGCGCGCCCTCGTCTCAGACGGCAACGAGCGCGCCGTCGAGGGCACCATCAGCGTGCAGCCGCAAGCCAACGACGTCACCGGCTTCAAGGAGTACTTCCTCGGACTCAACGTTAAGAATAATAAAAGGAATCCCTGGTTTATAGGTGAATAACCAAGAGATCATTTGTATAATTCGATTGCCTATTCCAGCTCTTAAATGGCTTACTATTATACGTATCAGAATTCTGGGAGGCGCACTTCCAGTGTCGCTACCCGGGCGGACCGCGCACGCCCTACAACGGTCAGTACGCGCGCAACTGCTCCGGCAGCGAGCGACTCACACAAGACAACACAAAGTTCGAGCGACAGCTGCAGTTTGTCTCCGACGCAGTGCTCGCCTTCGCATACGCTATACGGTTAGACTATGTCCATTATCTCCATCGTGATCATTATAATCAACAAAGACGTAATATGCAGTAATGCATCTTGTTGCATGTGCAGGGACATGCACCTGGCGGTGTGCGGAGGTCGGCGAGGATTGTGCGATGCCATGCGGCCGGCGAGCGGCGCAGAGCTGCTGTCCTACCTGCGGAAAGTCAACTTCACTGGTAAGTACAACCACTTCGCAATAATTTACAAAATATATGATCTATATTAATTACAGTCGTTTACTTTAGTTTGCTAATTTGATTTAGGTATAAGTGGCGATGAATTCCACTTCGACGCAAACGGCGACGGCCCCGCGCGCTACAACATCCTGCACTTCAAGCAAGTGGCGCGCGGCAACTACCGCTGGCTCAAAGTCGGCCAGTACCTTGATGGAGTGCTGCAACTTAACATCGATGGTACGTATTTATTTGTTTGTTTAAAATATGAAACCTCGGACATTAAATTTTACCCTTCTCGAAGGACCAGACTGATAACAGACTTTACACAAAGGATTTTATGCCACAAAGGTTTGTGATCTGGATTCATAATTATGATTGTATTCGGTTCAGATATTCAGTTCAAGTGGGGGGAGCGGCGGCCGCCGGAGTCAGTGTGCAGCGCGGAGTGCGAGCTGGGCCAGGCCAAGCAGTACGTCGAGGGCGAGAGTTGCTGCTGGCACTGCTTCAACTGCACCCAGTACGAGGTTCGTTCACTGATTTAAGTTAGAACTTGGAATTATAGAGTCGATTTAATTGTTTGGAATGGACGTTGTTGACAGTGAACTGTTTGTTGTCAGATCCGGTCTCCGTTGGTGGAGACTGCGTGTGTGGTGTGCGAGCGCGGCACTTTGCCGGACGCAGCACGCACTCGCTGTCAGCCCATACCCGAGCTCTACCTCCGCCCCGACTCCGCCTGGGCCATCGGAGCCATGTCCTTCTCCTCCCTGGGGATACTGCTCACCGCGTATGTAGCTATTTTATCGTCTCTTGGGCCTTTTTACGAACAATGGAGGAACGCTTTGCGTTAAATGACGATCAAAGTCCGTAGACGGGATTAATTGTCTGACAAATGTTACTTTGGTAGGGACAAGTATTATAAATTTGAGCAATATTGGAGAAAGATGTAAGAAGTAGGACAAAGAAAGTGTTTTAATCTGTTAATTAATTATCTTTAATTGTAAATACGATCACAATAGACCGGACCGTGTTGTGTTAGTACCGCACTCAGTAAGCAAGAAAGTTTAAAAAGACTATACTAAGTATATATTTAAGAGTTACTCATTCACTCACGCGATGCATTCTTAAGCGAATAACTTTTTATTTATCTAACTTACATTGACTTATCAAAACAAAATACACCTTTATAACTTAAAATAGTAAAACGTTCCTCTAAAAAGCGCAGGTACTTAAGATTTTCTTTGAAAATCCGACCTCCTCGAGATTCTGAGAGTGGCGACTGTGAGCTACATTAACCTCACAAGTTCATGCGGCCTGCATCAAAATTTCTTTAAAAATTCTACAAACATTTCCTAGGAATAATTTATTTTCATTCTTAAAAAAAATATGAATATCTCATATGAAGTTCTGAACTATGAAAACATTTCCATTAAAATCGCTGAAGATATTTTATGTCCGTTTTATTGTGGCTACATTTAGCACAAAATGTTTGAATAACGTTAAGGTTGTGTTACGGGGTAGGTTTGTGTGCGGGGTGTGGGTGCGGCACGGGGCGACGCCGGTGGTGCGCGCTAGCGGCCGCGAGCTCTCCTACGTGCTGCTGGCCGGCATCCTCATGTGCTACCTCGTCACCTTCGCCCTCGTCTTCCGCCCCACAGACGTCCTTTGCTCTATACAAAGGTCTTTATTTCCATACGCCAAAAGTAACTAGCATTCCTGACCAGGAATGACTCAGTAAATGTAGGAATAAAAACATTTTAAATATTCACACCCCATCCAATTCCTACTTGCTTTAACTATCGACCGCTGCAAATTCAATTAAAAAATAGTAGGAATTTGAAAGCACACAGAAAGTCTAAATTGAAACCTTCCTACTCGTCTACAAAAAAACACACGTTCCCAGAGGCGAGCGTTTCAAAGCGAGTAAATTTAAACAATTCTATTTGTACAGATTCGGCACCGGTTTCTGTTTCACTGTCGTGTACGCGGCTCTGCTCACCAAAACCAACAGGATCTCGCGCATTTTCAACGCCAGCAAGCACTCCGCCAAGCGCCCCATCCTCATCTCGCCCAGCTCCCAGCTCGCCATCTGCGCCGGACTCGTCTCTATACAAGTAAATATCTTTTGTCACACTGCATTTAACATATTTCTTACTAAAAATTCAACTTAAACATCATTTTTATCACACTTTTTCGTTCTTTATATGTTTTATTATTTTTTCTCAAAATACAGAATGAGGTGATAATGTAAGTTACCAGATAGTTGCACGAAATAAAACAAAACACGCTATATTTATCGTAACTATAAAGCGCAGAGTTAATTAAATTTAAGAACGCTTATAAAAATCTAATCAGAAATTCGATTAGAATGTTCGATAAAATCCTTCACTTAATTTACTTCAATATCCTGCGCAAAACTAAAAAGATTATGACAAGATTAATGTGTTCCCGGAGCCGGGAGCTGCTAACTGCTAAATGACTGTGCCTTTTTATCAGGAAAAAGGTATATTTTAAGCCACAAGAGCTTTATTAATGAATACTTCGGCAAAGCAAAGGGAAAAGAAAACATTTTCCGTGTAATGATTATGTTGCGTTTGCTTTCACAGCGTTCGTACAATCTTTTGATCTTAAACGAATTTCGTTTTGTCTGACTGAAGCGCTCTTTGATGTCGATTACGTATACGATGCGATGAAACAAAAGCCTACTGTACAAAGAAATATTTCACGCTTTTCCACTTTATAAAGTACTTAAAAATAAGTATTTACTATTTTTACTTGCGTTGCAACTTTAAAGACGATGACCGGGTTATGATAACCTCACAGTTACAGTAATTAATAACCGATCGTGAGTAAAATACTTTCTTATGTTTTTGAAACTATTACAATATGACTTCTATCTTTTTTATTCTCTTTGACTTAAACAGAGACAACAATACAAGTTTCACCGCATTAAAACTCTTGCTGAAGAGTTTAGATATTGTTTGTAATGCAGGTAATGTAATGTTTTGTAGGTGTTGATAGTGGTGGTGTGGATGATAGTGTCGCCTGCGCGCGCGATGCACCACTACCCGACACGCGAGGACAACATGCTGGTGTGCGACTCCTATGTCGACGCCTCCTACATGATCGCCTTCTCCTATCCCATCGTGCTCATCGTCATCTGCACCGTGTACGCCGTCCTCACCAGGAAGATACCGGAAGCGTTCAATGAGAGCAAACATATCGGTAAGCTATTTTACAGAAGACTACAAAATTAGCAGATGTCCCTGATATTGACTTCCTGTATACACAGTCAAGGGATGAGGGATGGATATTCCTGAGAATGTTTCACGTTTTTTTAATCATATAGTAGTATCTATTCAAGTAATTTTTCAAGTGAATATTTGAATTGTATTAAAAAAATCTGTTTAATAGAACCAATGATAATTTTCCAACATTGAAATGTTACGCATCTCTACCGTTTTATTCTAAAGTATTCCTCCACACACAATACTACTACTTGAATAAAATATAAATAAAGTGCCATGCACTATGTTTGGTATTGTTCCATTGTACCTTGTTGTCGGCCTCAAAGACTTCAGCACTTACGAAAATTAGAAAAAAGGATTGAAATGCAGTCGACGGAAAATTGAAAAGTGCTCAGCATTTTAGTATTATACTCTTTGTCACAATGCTCGTGCTACTTAAATTCCACCTTCGTTTTTGTGTCGACTGACTTTGGGGGTGAGTTGAACAATGAGCAATACGGTTTTGCAATTTTTAAATCTTACTTTTAAAAGTGTGAATTTAAAATGTGGCATACTGAATTAAATTTTCAAACGTTGGTGTATATTTTTTATGCGAAACATTTGACTAAAGCATTCATTTAGTGATCAATCAACGATTCTGAGTGAGTCAGTCAGTCTACTACTCGCCAGGGTTCACAATGTACACGACGTGCGTGATCTGGCTGGCGTTCGTGCCGCTGTACTTCGGCACTGCGAGTCATGTCCCGCTGCGTGTCACCAGCATGGCTGTCACCATCTCTCTCAGTGCCAGTGTCACGCTCGCCTGTCTCTTCTCACCAAAGGTAACACCATCGACAAATATCATTAATGACAACTTAAGTAATCGTCCAAAAATGAAGGATATATAGATATAGATAGACATCGTCGTTAAATCACATATGTCTATTCAAAGGGCTCAAGATTACCATAAACTAGCCGATAAACTTGACCTTAATGTTTGGTGTTCACACTCAACTTTGAATTTATTTGTATACTTATATATGCAGGTTGGATCACATGATTTCTTTAGGCATATAACAAAAAATGTTGTTTCAGTTATATATAATATTGATTCGTCCGGAGAGAAATGTTCGCCAGAGCATTATGCCAGTCCGGTACAGTCGGAAACCGCCGCCTTCACAAAACTTTACACACACACAATCCAAAAGTGAGCATAGCTTTTATTACTAGTACTTTTAAACAGTTTAAGAATTTTGAATTACATTATGGCATTATTTTTCCCACAGAACCTTCTTCCGATAAAGAAACACAAACGGATCCGACTGACTTCAGTGTAGTAACGAACGGACAAACGGTGACACTACGACGTGTTAATTTAGATAAAGATGAAACAAATAAACAGGCAAAAGAAAATGGCGCAGAAAAAAAGATATCTAAGGATAAAACCGACGGAACAAAAGATAAAGATATCAAAGATAAAAAGTTAGAAAAGAAACATTCTAAAGAGAAATTAAACGAAAAGAAACATTCCAGAGAGAAGATACAAGAGAGAAATCAAACGAAAGATGTGAAGGAAGAAAAGATTGTTCCTGAAAATGTGAAACAAATGAATAATTGTGATATTTCTAGAGATAAAGTTGTCGTCGTTGTTCAGACAATGAATGAACAATCCGAGTCTTTATAGCAATGGGAGTCTTCCAAATCATTAAACGATGTTGGAACAAATCGAAATAATAATAATACTAATCTTAAGAAGAAAAGTTGCTCCTGCAAAATGAGAGAACGGAAACCAATCGTAGTGTAAATTGTAAGAGACACTTTCTAATATACATTATCATTAGATTAGGTAATATTATAATGTACATAATACTATGTAAATTTGTGAAATTCACATCTCAGTACATAGCAAATATTGTTCTTATAGCTTTAAGTGTTTTGTCTAAATAAAAATGTATCTCTTTGTGTAAACAAATACGTCGAGAATTGTAAATATAAAATCGAAGACATATAGTGAAATATGAATACTTCCATGATATAATTATGTACTTAGGTAAGATGTAAATAGTAGAGCCGATGTTATATAGTTAGTTGTCGATATAGCCGAGGCGAGCACTGAGCCAGGGCGGCGAGGACTCCTGATAGAATGCAATTTACTTTATAACTTGATTAATTCTTTGATAGTTGATGTACCTCTCATACTTTACATTGTTTTATTACTGTTGTGATTTTGTAGTGTTTTATCACATAGACCTCTCCGCCTTTTGCTCGCCTTGTATATATTGAAAAATGCAATGAAATGCCAATCATATATAATATATAAACATGAATAAAATAAAATGTTTTGATGGTTATTTGATTTTATTTCTTACAACTGAACTTTTATAGTAGAAAGACACAAGTGAAATAAGTTCAGAACACTTTTATGAGCGAAAGCGAATACCAGAGAATGAACGAGAAGAATATATTTTCATTAGTCAGTAGTCTTATGACACCTCCCTCTACAAGATCGATCAGTTTTTAAGAACACAACAGAACTGACAAATATATCGTCTATCATAAGCTTAAGAAACAACATAGAAATAATAATAAAACTGTAGAGCTGATTACTTTTTAAAATCGTATCGCTATCTCTCTTTTTCCAAAAGATAATAATTTTACTGACAATAGAGTAGCTATTTTTTAAAGAACATATTTCACCAAAAAATAATTACCCAATAAGTTTAATGAAATATGGCGCGTTTATTATTTAAAAATGAAAAAAGGTTTTACGCAAAGGATCTAACGAGTTTCGGTCACCTGATATCATAATTCACAGAATAATTTGTTCCCGCGTAGTGCGCGCGCCATTGTTGAATTTCGTTTAACATCGTCATAAATTAATTTTGATTAAATCACACGAGTAGTGTTTCTTTGAAATGATTGTTCTATGCAATTTTGAGGTATTTTGCTCAATGACATGACTAAATTCTAGTTATTTTACCTAGACTATTTCATTTGGAGTTTATAAAGGGTTATAATATCTAGTTGCAAACTGAAATATCTAATGTTAGTTAAAAATAAATACCAGTTGCAGTTATATTATAAACAGTGTAACATAACTCCTGATCGATTCCTTACTCTAACTAAATCTGATAACATAGCATATGTTATAATACTAGACAATTACTTGTGGGTATCGAGATTAAAACGCATTCAACCACTCTGTATAATTACTTATGCCACGGGCTACGGCGTAGCACTAGTAGATGTACTGCGTAGCTATAATAGATCTACAGAACACACATTTACATAGCATTTCCGATAAAATTTAATCTTCGTATATAACATACATACAACGTACATAAAAAAATCCTTTGAAAGCAAACATTGATGCATATTGAATGTTTTAGGCCTTATAAATAACTGCGATTTTTTAAAAATATAACAGAAATTCGTTGTTTATTTTGAAACTTCGATTCAATTAAGCTTACAGCAAATTCGAGTATCGTTAACGTCCAAAGTGGCCGCAAAGTTTTAACTTTGTTATATTCTAAACTTATTCAATTTTTGGTTCGCAACCAAGTTTAAATAGCTTTCCTGTTTCGTTGTCAGCCCCTTTTCTAAAGGCTTCGCTTTATTGAATCTATCTACACTTTCTTCGTTAATTAGATATAAAATAATTCGACGAAGTTACAAAGTAAATAATTATTTTGTAATAAACAAACGGTTGCCCGCAGCTTCGTAAATAATTAAACATTTTATCAAATATTAGTGTGGCAAGCGATCGTTAAATTAAAAAAACCTAAGGTGGGTACCTATTCCTGAACATTTTGTAAAAATTATATAATATCATAAATTTCTCAGTTTATTTAAAGACAATTACAGCGATGAATCACATTTCAAACTTTTAATAACTCTGAACTTTGTGTTATTAGTTTATTTTATAAAAATATTGTTGTTTTTTTTTATTCTAGTATTGTCAGATCATGTCTGATATGCATGCAGTACAACATTCCGGAAGCAACCAAATTTATTCCATTCGCGGCCACAGAGCAGAGCATGTTCCATGCATAGAAATAAGATAATTCAGAACCGCGGATACCGGTTTTGATGTCATGATTCAATCATTGCATTAGAATTACATTTCCAAGTGAAACATGATACAGACGGAAGGGAACTAAATTGTTATTCAAAACTACAGGAATCTAAAATAAGTAAATGTTCGTATAAAACTATGCCGTATTACTATTATCTACGCAGCTACATGCGGTCTGTTGCATTTTAAAATTGAATACATAAATGCATGAGAACTGAACAACTTTCCCCGCATACGCTATGTATACTGTTTATATTCCATACTTAAATAAATAAAAACTAATATTGTCTTTGCAAATTTATATACTTATGTTTTTTCTTCATCCTGTTATGACGGAATCAAGGTAAATTTGATTATGTAATTACTAAACGAAAAACATTTTCAATGATCAACAATATCTATTAAATAAGAAAATTGTAATGTACAATAAGTATATACCAGTAGGCATATAAGGTATCTTAGCGAGGGCAAACATATCAGCGACCCTCATAACCCGGGCTGTCGGCTCGCCTCTGTGATGTATTGCCCCTGTTTGCGCCACATCCTACACCTCACTTATTTATCAGCTTTACAGATTGTCTCGACCTCAAAAAAATACATTGAAAACACCAATATACAAAGTTACAACGACATATAAATTTACTTTTGTATGAACTTCCAGAGATGTTACCGTTGTGATACTCCCCAATATATGCATTTAATACCTAAATCCATTGATGAAAATACAATATACAATTTTTTTTTCTATTCACGTACTTATAAATCTCTTTTGTTTTAATTGGAGTTTTTTTTTAAAGATAAACATATCTTTATTATATGGTATGTGTTTCCGTAAATCATAAATAATACATCAATTCAATATAGCATTAGTCAATTTACTGGATAACCAAGAGGCATACAAAATCGAGGCAAATTATATTACAATAATGCATCGCAGAGCAATAGTACTCAGGATAATTGCTCAATGGAACTGTCCTGTGTTGGAATTGTCTATCTACATAGTCTGCACTAACATGCTAATTACTAGCTTTAGGAGAGCTTTAGGCGTTCCACTACATCTGACTGCCAATTAGGGAATTGAATATCAAGCGAACGTGAACATAAATTAAGATTATTGATGATTAATGTATTTGCTCTTTGTGCTTTTGTTTTCTTTGTGTTGAATACTCTAAAAACACATTTTAAAGCTGTAAGTGTAGGGTTAGAGAGTAAGTAAAGAGAGAAAAAGTATTGTTCTAAGAAATTTCGACCTAAAAAACTTAGCTATCTAGACCATAATGACTTGATCATTATTACAAAACTTGTAGAAATAATTGTTATTTCTATGACAAAAGCCTCAGTTCAAAGTTCACTGAGCAATGAATAAAGGAGTTCTTTCTAGAAACTTCCAAAAGTGGAATTGATTGATGTTGCCGACATAGAAAGGCTCCGTAAATATTTATGATCCACTGTAACTTGACCTACAGAATACAATATTCAGCTTTTTATTTTTGTCTAATCGAGCGCAAACAAGATTTTACATAGTTGTTGTCGACCATCAATCAAACATTTAAGAAAACTAATCGTGGATCAGCATTCATTTGAAATAATATAATGAAAAACAAAATAGGCAAGCGATGAAGATGATATGCAAAAAGTATATTTATTAAACCTAAGTATCGTAAGAATAAATCGTACACAATCACACGAACAAACAGACTCTGTATTAGTACTTACATATACTTATATATTAACCTCCTTACTACATTTAATTTAATTTCACGGCGATTACTTGTTGTTTTTAAAAGCGTTATTATTTTCATGAAATTTTCTCTGGCCGATATTATATAGAACAGAGGTTGTGAATGAAGGCTACAACTCACTGCCAGATTTATAACACTTGCCTCGTTATTTAAAAATTAGCACCGTAAAAAAATAATGGTCGCACTCACCAATAATGAAAGTTTGAAAAGGCTCATTTTAAGATGTTAAAGTAAATATTTTATCCGTCATTATTTGCCTAAAAAAATAAAATGTTAAACCATTTTTGTGTGCACAATATGGTTATTTTTTAAACATGTAAAATTTCCCGAGCAAAGAGCAATCGGCAAGTCAATAGATACGGTGTGATAAATCGCTCCAATGTTGCGTAAACATCCCCCGATATAACTGAAGCGATATCCGATACAGAGCGCTGCCAAAGGGTCAGGAGGGATAACCAGGGACGAAATATCGCTCGTAAAGATAAAAACATTGCCAGTTATTGTTTCCATTTAGGATTATATGTTTATACAACAGCAAACTACTTTAATACATACTAATAAAAATAACTAGTTTCAAATCAACTAACATAAATAGAAAACATAATTTACACATACAATAAGAAGCAAATATTAAGGTAAAATTATTTACATATTACATGTATTATGATTTGAGTCGCGTCGTCTAAAGAAGTTATTCAAATCACAGACACTTCTTTTTTCGCAGAACGACGAATAGAAAATATTTTCCATTAATAATTTTGACATGACACATACAATATATAGCATTTGTACAATACTTTACTAGCGTCTTGCCCAGGCTTCGCACGGCTGTCCACGCGTAATATTATTTTTACCACAATTCGTATCAGCTAAGTAATGGAAAAAGTGCATACCTAATAAATTTGCATGGTGGAGATAAGAAATATATAACATAGATAGAATGATGCGAGCAATGTAGTTGTGGAAACACCAGTTTACAGGAAGTGAAACTGCAATATGGCAACAATATAGGTAGCGAGGACGGCGAGGAAGCGCGGCGGCAGCGCGGCGTCCAGCGGCAGCGGCCCGTGACCTCCCCGCCACACCTCCGCCTGCTGGCTCTGACGACGCAACAAACAACATAAATCTGCAACAAAATATAACTGCTCGCTTAAATTATTCTTCTTCTAGTCTTACTGTTTTACAATCGAAGTCAGCAAGCAAAAGCTGCATCCTTTGAGATAGTCGGTCATCAAGTTTTATTACATTACGTATTTACCTAAAAAGTGATCATCTGGTACTTTTACACTGAGTAGAATACAGACGACTTGAGTGTTTTTCATTTGCAAATGCACATTCTCTGCCTCCATACTTAACAAAGTTAGCAAAGTTATGTTTTTTAGCCACACGACCGGGGCTAAAGCATCAGATCTCGACCAAACTTTGACCTAAAAAAAAAACAGAAAAAAATAATCTAGCCGTTGCCAACTTGTTTAAGT